AGGAAAAACACTGCATTCAGCAGGCTGGTATCCAATAGAATTAAGACGGTTTCTAGAGTTGACTACTAGTTTCTAGAACTGGACTACTACCCATTAATTAACTGGTGTGCAGAGTGATATAGATTTCTCTATGTTGACGGTATAGAAATTTTGTTGAACCCTATTATTTCTAATTATTTGTCTTTAATGCAACATGATTAGACTTTAATCAGATTGTTTCAAGTGTTTACCCATTAAGGATGAGAACATTCAGTGTACAATTAATGTGAGCATTTATGTTCTGTATTTTGTTGCTTACATAAATCTTTTTTTCTATCATGGCACTTCTTTCCTTTTCTAAAAAACCATGTATTAAAATAATGAAATAGATATTGAGTTATTTCAAATATTTTTCTGCATGCCATAAGATGATGATTTTTTCATTTCATTTGTGAGGGTATTCAGGAATACTGGTAGAGTTTTTAAACCATCCTTGCAATAATTTACCATGATATATGTGGGGTTTTTTAAATGACGTTTCTGGTAAAAATGGGACAAAATTTTATTGAAGATTTTTGCAACTTTTACCCTTGATAATGTTGGCTCAATAGAGTACTTATCCGGTGTCGGCCCCTCTGGGTTTAGCTTCTAGAGTATGCTGGTAGCCTCACAAAACACACGGAATATCATAGCCTAGAAAAGGCTGTTTGAGGCAAGAGTTAGAATCCACTTATAAAATGGCATATTAGATTTTGATGGGTCATACTTAAACAATTTGTTTTATTTTTGTTAAGTCTATTAGTATATATAAGTATGCTACTTTTTCTTGGACCCATTAGGATATTTGCACTTCTGAGAAAATTGTCTGTTTTTAGTTTTCAAAAGTAGTAGCACCAAATTATGTATAAAATTCACTTATAATTTAAAAAATTCTCTACTAGATTTTCCACTGTGTTTCCTCTTTTATCATAATGTGGCCTATTTGTACTTTTCATGCTTATGTCTTTTCACTTCTAATGGTCTTCATTAGAATTGGGTTTTGGTTTGTGGGATCATTTCTATTTATGTTTATTTATTTTTTGAAAGAGAGAGAGAGAGAGACAGAGAGAGAGAGAGAGAGAGAATCCCAAGCAGGGTCTGTGCTCTCAGCATGGAGCCCGATACAGGGCTCAATCTCATGAACCATGAAATCATGACCTGAGCAAAAGCAATATAAGACGCCTAACCCACTGAGCCAACCAGGTGCCCCAAGGTGATCATTTCTATTGGGTATAATGTTTCATTTGAAATTGTTTGAGCTCATATCTTTGTTTTCCTTTCCTTAATTTACCTTTGAGCTTAATTCATCCAGTGCTTCACTGATTTATTTACAAAGTTGCTTGATTATTCTTGGTTCAGTTAGATGTTTCTCTTTTTCTGTCTCATGCTTTGCCTTCATTTTTAAAAATTTTAACTTTAGTGCGGTAATATTGACATTAAAAATTGTGAAATATTGAAAGTGAACATCACGGTAATTTGATGTATATGCACATTGTAAATGGATTTGCCTATTGAGATAATTAATGCGACAGTCACCTCACATATTTACTTTTTTAATATGTATTTTTTGGTGAGAACATTAAAATTCTAGCCTCATAAAATTTCAGTATTACAGCACAGTTTTATGAACTATAGTCACCATGGTTTACATTAGATCCGCAGAACTTATTCATCTTATAGCTGAAATTCTGTATATTTTACCAACCTTTTTCTATTTTTCTCACTCCCCGGCTCCTGGAAACTTCTAATTTACAGGATTTCTGTAAGTATCACTTTTTTTTTTTTTTTTTTACTTATTTCTAGGAGAGAGAGAGAGACAGCGTGAGCAGGGGAGGGTCAGAGAGAGAGGGAGTCACAGACTGAAACAGGC